TTTGGGCATGTTTACAAGTTGAAGTCGTTGTGACTTGGTTATTTGAGGGCATGTAAAAAGGGCAATTGGTCTTAGTGAAAAAAGGGCATGTAGGTAAGGGGGTGTTTTTCAATGAATGCACGCAATGGTTGTCATAGGCGGAAGATTTGGTTGTATGGTGAGGTCTTTGTGACATCGCCTGACACTGCCAGTACGTGCATACATTTGGTACCTTGTTAAAATGGTAGGATGGGGTAGACAATGGGGCGCCCAGCTGGAATATAGTGCATTTATTAAAATCTATGGTTAATCTGAATTTATGGAGGCTATTGATACTAAGAATTCCAAATGGTAACGGTGCATTCACTACATGGAAATTCTCTCTTCGGGATATTTGTCCTATTGTCAGTGGGATAGACAGTTTACCCATGGTTTTTGCAAAACCGTTTAGGGTTTGGAGGTTCAGTGAATGTCCCTCAAGGGTTAAATTAGGCAGATGGGTTTTTAACATATGATAAAGATTATATGGCACTATATTCAGACTGGCGCCTGTATCAATTAAAAAGGGGCATGGTATATTAGGGGCTAGAAAAAGTTTGATAGTCAGTTGGTTTAGGGATCCTACCTCAGTCTCGAAAGGGCTGCTCGGTTGGGGTGTCTCTGGCTTGACTTGGTTGTTGTGGAATCGGGACTGGTGACTTTGGGACCGTTTGCACTGTCCGAACCTTTTCGTGGGTCGCCGGGACTGGTCGATGTCGGCATTCGCTGTGCCAGTGCCTCGCGCCGCAGAACTTGCAGTTGGACGGCGGAAGAGGTGCATTCCATGCACCTGGGCGTCGGGGTGTGTTGTGATACGGACCCGACATTGTGGGTGGTTGATCTTCTCTGGGTCGCGTTGTCGGTACACTGGGTCCGTGGATCCGCTGTACCAGTCGGAACCACTCTCCTAGGTTCTCGGGAGGCACTACGCGGACTAGGCGCTGGTCGTTGAATGGCAGTCCTTCTGTCAGCGTCTCGAGAATCACCTCCTGTGGAAGTCCTAGTTGCAATCCCATGGCGGTTTTCTCCCGGTAGTAGGTCTCTAGGTTGGCTTGCCCAGTAAGCTTCATGGCGAAATATTTCGCAAATGATGCTTCGCTTGACTCAGGATAGAGATCTAGGAGGATTTGCCTCACCTTGAAATAGCTCCGGTCGGCCAGCCGAAGTTTCCTGAAGAGCTCCAGGGGTTGTCGCACCAGGTAGTTAGGTAGGCGGAGTAATTTTTCTTGTTCTCCCATGGATGCGTCTTCCATTTTTCGGTCGAACGCTTGGAAAAACTGTGTCGCGCTATATGTTCCATCGAAAAGCGCGATTGTCGCCTCAGCTCCATCAGTAATCTTTACTCGGGTCAGGAGCGCCGATAGCAGGGTGACGGCGTCCGCTAGGGGCGCAGTTGTCTCTCGGCCGGTCGCTTCCTGCCTTTCTCCTGCCTGTTCGTTCTCTCTTACTTCTTGCCTTCTTTCCGTTGTTTCCGTCGGGCCGTCCGATTTTACGCCTATGGGATCCTGATTAAATTCCATCTCTTTATCCTGTCGACTCTATGTAATATAATCCAAGTTATTACACTGCAATATTTGATGTATTACAATGTTGTAGAATCTTGTCGACTTAACCGTTCTGTGACAATATCGTTGCGGAATTTCTTGTTGTTCGATTTGAATGGTGAGGATTGGTTGAAACGCAGTCGTTGAGTGGCAAGTGAAGCACACAGTTAGGAATAATCAGGACACGTGATGGGGTTTGAAAATAAAAGGCAACTGGGTTGGAGGAAAGAAAGCTTGAGAAGAGCGGAGCGATTTTTGATTGTTAATTATCTGATCACATGGTGGTGATTGTACTTAGCTATGGGATGAGCAGAGGGAGAGAGGTCCAGAGCAGATGTCACCTTGTTGGAAGCCAAAACTCTACTGATCTGAACTCGGTGGGAGCCAAGTCGCTACTGACAATTCTTGTCTTTCGATTTAACACCACGAGTTGTCTTCCTTCCCATTGGTCGAAGGATGGAACGTGCCCGTTTTTCTATTGGTTGACCTATTTAGTTATTCCTTCCTAATTGGACCGGCGGCTTTCTTTGGTGAAAGATATGCCCGGCCTGATAGGAAGTATCGGGTGTTAGTTCGACTCTATTTACTTCCGCGTTATCAAAATACGTCCGGTCCTGTCCGGAAATATTGGGCGTCTCTATACTAATATAACTTCTGCGGATACCAGATACGTCCGGGCTTTGCGAGGAAGTATTGACTGTACAAGTTATTTATACTTGTGCCCGCTTTTAGCCTGCTTCCTATGTCTTGTTGCCACTTTCTTTCCTCCAGTTACCTTATTCTTTATTAAATCTTTGAAAATCATACATTGTACATGCATAGTGGGTCGGGGGGCATACAATTATATACAAATTATGACATATATATTCACAAATTTAACTTTCAATACTTAATGTTTACAATATGGTAGACATGCGATTTTGAAACTGAAACCTCAAATACTTTCCAGGCCTCTCTGTTATCTCCCTTGTAAATGCGATCTACATGTAGCACTATGGAATTGAGGATCCCCAGAACCTAACCTCCGTACGCCATAAGTACATGGGCAGCAATGAATGGTTTATATGCTTAACTCGAAATTCGTACGCTTGTGGTGGAACTGCTGCACCATCGACCATCTCTGTTAGTGATAAGTCAGTGTTGCATCGGGCAACCTGTAGTAATTTCTAACGCTCGCCATTATGGTCAGAGTTCCGTTAGGTCAACCATGCAACCTATGAGAGCCTCAAAGTTGCTCAGATATGCCTGGTTGCTGTCCTGGGTTTTGCCGAGAAGGCTTGGAGAAGCGGTTACCACTGTGAACACTCTTTCGGCAAAGATGATCAATATAGCGCATGCACTAAGAAAAGATCCTGAACGAAATATACACGTGTGACACACTCTAATCTACTCAGACGGTACTAGTGACACATCTGTCATTCTAAATAAACAACCTCCGTTAATCGCCATTTAAAACTTGGTTTCCTCACTTTCATAAATTTCTTTTGAATTAATTATAAGGATATTCTTTTAATTAGTAACTGTTGTGCCCGTTGTTTTGTCAATAATCTACTCTGAGTCGTCGGAGCTCCCTTGGTACCGGTTTTATTTATAACCAGTCCCGGAACAAAAGGAGAACACCACACACAGCCAGACGCGGAGATACTTCCCCGCTCGCAGCCAAAACCAAAACCAAACCGCCAGGTTCCAGTCTCGGCCGGTTCCCGCCGCCAGGTGCGTAGTGCCGTGAGGATTCTCGCCTGAACCCTCAACAGTAACGTGTACCCAAAATGAATATGGAAAAGCTGAAACATATTTCGGTTAAAATATTTTGGAAGAAATTTAGCGACCACAAAAATAGATTAAATGAACGCCTAGATTGACACTCATGGTTGCTTTCTATATTAGATTTGCTCACATTCCTCTAAGGTTTTTTGAAATGTTAGTTCACATTCAAAAGTGTTTCCGGACCACTAAATTAATAGTTTTGTGAAAAACGTATAAAGCGCTCAAGTTATTAAAAACAAATTAGGCATATTCTGACCAATAACATGAGCGTTCTTCACGTTTTTCATAAAACGCTCATATGTTAGTGGCTTGTACCTTAGGACCTAGTAGTAGGAGAAGACGTAGTAGAGGCGACGGAGAAATTAGAGGTTGTTGAAACAAATTTAAAACTGCATTAAATCTACACTTTTCAATGTGAAAAATAATTATTAAAAATATTTAATTATAAAAAATATTTTTTTTTCCTCATTGAAAAGTGTATACAGTGGTACCTCGACATACGAGCGCCCCAACATACGAGTTTTTCGAGATACGAGCCGACGAGCAAGTGATTTTTTGCTTTTAGTTACGAGCGAAATTCGAGATACGAGTTCGGTTCGGTAGTGTTGAAGATATTAATCTGTGATTTTAAATGTTTCTTTTTGACCAGTACTTTTGTTTTGTTTTTGCTTTTCCTAAAATGTTTCTTTCTTCTTCTTCATTATTATTTGTTCTATATGCAAAGCTTTGTTTTTTGCTTTTGGGGAATTTTGCTTCGAGATACGAGTAATTCAAGATACGAGCAAGGTTGCGGAACGAATTAAACTCGTATGTCGAGGTACCACTGTATTTTATGCACGTTTAGAATTTGTTTCGACAACCTTTAAATCATCCACGCCCCAATTTAAGCTACTACTAGGTCCTAAGGTAAAAATACGTTGTTTTTGTTAGTGTCCTTCAAGTAGATTTATACCTTTGATGACTATATAGACAAATATACTGCAATTTGTTAGTGGCTATCACTCCCAGCTCATCTAGTGACCGTCCGGTATCTTTCTGACTCCGACAGCCAGCTCATTGTAGGTCTTCTTCCTTCAATTATACCTAAGATCAACAGGTTTTTCAAACCATTTTATCGCATTATGTATCTTAAGTTCGTAAGTCTTTGTTTACATATTTTGTATTTTAGGGATGTATAACAGGATTAATTTCATATTTAATTTTATTTTATTCATAAATTCAAGGTTTCAATAACCTTTGACACAAAATGGCACTCTGAATAGCTTTCCATTCACACATTTCAAAGGCTTGAAATCTTTTTTCTTTTCTGAGAAGAGATCAGCTCTCACATCTATAAATGACCACAGGGCAAACCAATGTCTCTATATTTTTCTTTTTTGTCTTTGAATGCCAATCATAATCTCAAATTTCATTATTGCGCCCTTCCCTTTCTTTTTAATTCCTCTGATTAACTTCCCATCAATCCTAAGAATATTAAGCGATCAAATCTATATAAAAAAAACATGATTTCAAAACTTAAAATAACCAATATATCTAAAATGGAAACTCAAAAAGTTAAAAAACATTTATAGCTATTATAGAAACTTGGAAAGAATCATTTAAAACTAAAATTTTTCGAGTTATAATGAAAAATATTTGATACACGATATAATATTTTTAATTAAGAAAGAACGATCCTGGTAGGAATCGAACCTACAATCTTTTGCTTCGGAGGCAAACGCCTTATCTATTGGGCCACAGGACCACGTTAAATTCTCTTTGTGTAAAAATCATAAATTGCATATTAGCAAGATTAGCAAGATGGATTTACTAATAAGAACATTGACTGTAAAATTAGATGAAATCTACGAGTATTTTGACAATAAGGTCAAACAGAGAGAGAGAGAGAGAGAACCAAAAAAACCTCACAAAAAATGATCTATCCTATTTGTCCACAATGGTAAAGCAGACAAAAGATGGTATTACTGCCTTGAGGGATATCAATAATCAGGACTTTTTAGATAAGCTTTCTGTGCAAGTGTCTGATGTCCTAGATCAAAAACTGGACAAATTCAAGGGAGAATTCAAGACACTGAGGCCCTCTTTTTCAGAGGTTGTGAAAACTCAAACAACGAGAGATACAATAAATAAAAAACAAATTAGTGAAAAAGAATTTGTAATTATAGCGCAGCCTTTTAATGAGGGAAATAATCAAGATGTACACCACGCTATTGTTAATAAGATCAGAGTGTTAGGAGAGGAAAATAAGAAAGTTCGAGTCAATAAAATTATAAACACTAAGAAATCTATTATTATAAAAATGTCGGACGAGCGCGAATCTAATTTTCTAAAAGAGGAAATATGCAAATCAACTCAGCTAACAAATATATGCAAAACATTTATTCCGACCAAAAGAGATCCGACGATAATGGTTAAAAATGTTAATAAAATCACCGAGGTAAATTTCTTCGAAGAAACAATCTGTCAGATGAACGACGAACTAAGGGATATGAAAAGTGAAATTAAGGTTTTATTCAGCACTAAATCTAACACCCCTACTCACAATATAGTTTTACGGGTTTCTCCTAGGGTATATCAAACCATTAGGAAATTAAATAATAAAATCTACACTGATTGCGAACGCTGCGTTGTTGTAGATAAGATTTTTTGTGAAACAATGCCAGAAATGTCTTAAATTTAATCCCTCTCACAAAATGGCAGAATGCCCTAACACCCCAATGTGCAGAATATGTGGAGTTCAGGGAGTTCATGATTGCTCAGGAATTTCCAAGTGTTTTAATTGCTCTCAACATCCTAAGTATAGAAGCAAGCCCTTATCACACAGAGCAAATTCGGAAGAATGTCCTTTGTATAAGGCACAAATAGACAGAATAATCGAAAGAACAAGTTATTTCCCAACTGAACAATCAGATAACTAACTCATACGAGTCAGGAAAGTATAAAATGCAAGCCCCATTAATTAAGTGTGTGCAACAAAATTTAGGAAAAAGCATAAACGCAACAAATGAGCTCCTGGCTCAGATAGCTAACGACCCACCAGACATATTATTTATTCAGGAGCCCTACACAGTGAACAATGTTGTTATTTTTGGCGGAGACGAGCATTCAGTTTTAACAGCAAAAGGAAACAAGATAAACTCGGCAACAATAATTTTAAATAAAGGATTAAAATACAATAAGATAGATCAATTCACCAACTCATTTTGTACTACAAGCTCAATACTTTCATCAAAGTCAAATTTAATTACAGCGAATTTTTACATTCTCCCCAATTCTTTTTCGGAAACCCATCAAAGGTTTATTGAGGAAATTTTGGAAACCTTCAAAATTCAACCGATTCTGCTTTGTGGGGATTTTAACTCTAGGCATCCCGTCTGGTATGACCGAAAGACAAATTCAAATGGTCACAAACTTCATTCAATAGTGAACCAACACAATCTTTTCGTCCATAATATTAAAACTACAACGTGTCGTAATTCTAGCGTGATCGACCTCACTATCTCCAACAGAAATTCAATCAGTCTATTAAAAAACTGGAATACATCCATAATGACGGACACCTCCGATCACGTGACAATAACCTACGAGATCGTTAATAAAGACAACAGTCATATAAACGGTTATAAATCAACCTGGAATTTCAGCGAAACTGACGCAAACTGGAATGTATTTTATGATAAATTTTCCTCCCCCGAATTGCTAAGCCTCGTGGATGAAACTAACCAAATAAAAAATTCCGAAAGTGTAGATAGAGCTGTTTTAAAACTCACAGATATTATCAGTGAAGCTGCTTACGCATCCCTTAAGTTAAAACCAACCATAAACAAAAACAAAGTCAAATTCAAGTGGTGGACGAATAAACTTGAAAAAATGAAAAATGATTTTAATTATATAAGAAATTTATTCTATCGCGCGCGCGCGAGGCAAAATAATTAATGAAAAATTCTTTAAAGCTGCTCGTAATAAATATAATATTTTTGCTAGGACTTCAAAAATGGAAAGTTTATTGAACGATCTTTTCCCGGACGATGATATTTCTTCCGAGGAGGAACTTCACAAAGCAACTAGATATTACTCGCCAATCTACAATAATAGAAACAAAGTGATCATAAGCCTAAAAGATATCGAATCAATTATTGTATTATTGAAAAATATAAGAAAGCACCTGGATCAGATAATATTAGCAATAATATGATAAAATACGCCTACCCTAGGATTTCCATAATCCTCCATCAAATATTTGAAAAATGTATAAGTTTGGGATATTTCCCAGATTATTGGAAAAACTCTTTTGTGAAAATCATTCCTAAAGGAGATAAAACTAGTTATGATGTTAGTAAAAGCTACAGACCAATTTCCTTGCTATCTAACATTTCAAAAATTTTCGAAAACGTAATTAAAAATAAACTTACTACCTTTTATGACGAAAACAATTTGATGAGTCATAGACAACATGGCTTCTTCAGGCATAAATCAACAATTACTGCTATGAAAGAGCTGACTGAAACTATTCTGGAACACAAGCAAAGAGAACTGACGGCGTTGATCGCAGTGGACCTATCAGGGGCTTTTGATAATGCATGGTGGCCAGCTATAATAAAAAGAATGGATTTAGACAACGTTCCCAGCTCTCTGATTCAGGTCATCCAATCCTATTTGAATAATAAAAGGACAGTTTGTCTGTCATACGGTAGCAAAACGGTCTCCAAAAACCTTACTAAGGGATGTCCTCAGGGTAGTCCACTGTCACCGTTATTATGGAACATCTTGCTAAACGATATTTTAATGAATTTTAAATCTACAAACGCTGAAATTATTTGCTACGCGGACGACATCTCTATTGTATGTTGGCATTATAATTTAGAGGGTCTAAAAACTGAGTTAGTGAACACCCTAAACTATGTCACTCAATGGTGTCGCTCAAACAAGTTAAAAATAAATCCAGAAAAAACAAACTTGATTCACTTTCACAATTTCCATAGGTTCCAGCTGGAATTTCAAAAAACCGTCATAAAGCCTTCAAATGAAATCAAAATTTTGGGAATGAAATTATCTAATCATAGGTTCAAAACAAAAATTAATTTCACCCCGCACATCAATGAGATTTTGCATAAGGCGCATCGCATGAAAAATCTGCTTTTTTCCCTCAGCGGCAAAATATGGGGTATAAACTCTAATAAAAGGTTAATTTTGTATAAGACGCTAATTAGACCTATTCTAACATATGGAGCTGAAATTTGGTTTTACCAAATAAATAACCGCTGTAAACAGAAATTAAATTCGATGCAATACCAAATTGTTCTTTGGGCTACTAGATCGTTTAAAACATCTTCCTCAAATTGTGTCCACTGTCTGGCAGAGATCCCATTCCTGACTGATTTTATCGAATCAAGATTGATTAAATATGAATTGGACCAACTAAGCGAGGAAGACCAACGAACGTTCAGTCCACATTCTCCTTCAATTATAAAAGGATTTTTGAGAACAAGAATGGAAGATATGTTTTCTAATACAAGTGATCACTTTCGTCTCTTTTTCCCTTTGGGCATTCCAAAATATTTCCGCCCTGACTTTTACAATGTGCAATTCGTTACTGGTCATGGAAATTTCGGAGATTTTCTGTTTCGAATAGGAGCTATAGACGATCCGGGATGTTTATGTGGAAAGAGAAAGCAGGATTCCAGTCATCTGCTTCTTGAGTGCCCAATCTTCCAGAACTACAGAAACCGGGAAAACATCGAATACAAGGATCTTTTTATGTTTGTAAATAGTAAGGACTCGTATTTTAAATTTAGAAAATTCTGTAAATATATCTATGATTTTCTCTCTTGGTTAAAAAAACCTTAATTATTACCTATTTGTATATATATATATTTTTTGGTTTGTTTATTTTGTTGGTTGTGATGTAAAATCAAGAATGATTTTAATGCCCTCTTTCTTATCTTTTCAAATCTTGTAATTATTTAATTTTTTTTATGTAATATAGTATCTGAATTTAGTGTTGTTATTGACGCAAGCATCCCTTGTAGGGATATCGCGTCTGATTTGATAAATAGATAAATAAAAGAGCTAGGTATTACAATCAATTAAAATGAATGAAAAGTTCTTAATTACATATACAAATATAAACAATATAAATTTTGAATTATTTCAGTCTTTATAGAATCACTTTTATTTTATATAGACATTATTCTTTAATAAAAAATATATTTTTCAAATCCGTTTCAGTACACCAATAGAAATAATGCATTTAAAATATATCTAAAAATATCAAATAAGTGGCTGGACGAGTGGGTAACACCCTCGATTCCCGACAGCCATGAACCGAGATTGAATCCCGCGTTAACACTTGTTTAATAACACATTTGTTTAATATGTGAATAACCTTCACATTCATTGTTGCAAATATCATAAACTAGGTTGCTTTATTTTTTGAGCGGCACCTAATAAAGTGATTTTGGAACAAGGAACAAGGAAATATCAATTACTATTCAATAGTGCTGAATATTTGTCTAAATTCCGCGCGATACAGGATAATTCCCAGCTTAAACTTAAGATTTTATTCTTAACTATATTTTAAATATATTTTTTTGTCATTATTATAAATTGTCAACATTTATATTTATTAATTATTTCTTCATCGCTTGTGTCACGATCTATTTTTTTTTTCTAAGTTAATATGATTACAATTTTTTTTTCAAATAGTTTTATTAGTTCTTATATTCCGAAGCACTCGAAGGAAAT